GCTACTGCCTCAAGAACAAACTGCTCCGGGCTACGGAAAATTCCAAAAGCAAAAGAAGGTTCACTGTTCTCCGAATTTCCCCCTCTTAACCGGAGTGGTTGGTGTTGCAAGAACTTGGCACCTGCGGGGATGCCTTCCCAAGGCTCGGTCAAAGTACCACCAGGCTGAACTGGTGGGTTGGCTCCGGCGTGCGATACATGACGAATTTCCGAAAATTCTGACAAAACCGGCGCAAGCTTGGAAGCTTTGGGTTGAAGGCCTACAACTGCCCTGAGGTAAGCATACTGGACTCTGCTGGGTGGTGTAAGCGACCCAGCCGGCGGCTGCCAACCTCGTGTCACTGCTTCCTGAGCAAAGGCATGAGCGATCTCATACGCCAGATGCAATGGATACGCAGTTTCCTTGCTCGTGGCGAAACCCGAGGGGGTTAAGCCCCAGGCTTCATGGCAATGCTTTTTGGACACTCCGGGACAACACTTATTTATCTTATTAAAGGCAGCACAGTTGTGAGCAAGGACAGTCCATTTGGGGCGTGTGGAACCGTATGCACAAGCTTGATGCGCTGTGTACATGAGCTTGTCCGCCAATGGCTGAAAAAACGAAGTGAGCCAGTAAAAACTCCTCCTAGGATTCTCGATCACGATAATGAGGTCACGACGAATGCATTCGTGTGCAACTTCGGTTATAAAGTGATACAGCCGATTTGCGGATGAAACTCTGAGTTTATCTACCCACTTAAGGTTACAAAGTCCGTCCGGATGAAGCTCGTTCCTCAAAGGCCTTGGCCCAGCGATGAACTTGCCTGACGAGACCTGAAGTGGGATTGATCGAGCTCTACTGCTGGTTCCACAAGGGGGCGCTGCGAAAACGCCCATGCACGAAGGCGAGTTCAACCATTGCATAACAAGTGACTTGCCCGCCTTTGTGGTCAAATCCGCCAACATGATGCGTCCACAGTTTCTTCCCTTGACATGGTCGACACCGAAGGAATCTGTCAAGCCGATGGCACGTGCACAACTAGTTACTCTGGCTGACCCTGCACACAGTTCGATGATAAACGGTTTCTCTGGAAAATTGCGTGAATGAAGTGTCTCATCAAAAACTGAAGAACTGGATTCGTTTGTTTGCGTCTTGCAGAAAGGGCCTAAAGCACTGGGATCCGAACGTCGTTCAATGCCCTGCCCATGACTGGTTTTGCGTTCTTTCGAACGGCTTGAATTCTCGAGAGCTTCCAAAGAACTCTCCTCTAGCGGCCTTTTGCCTAGTCAGGCCGAATTGTGGTCCTTCAAGGCATGCGGACCGTAGCACTTGGCACACACATGGAGACCCTTCGGACACTCAGCTCCATCAGCAGCAATGGAACATTTTCCCAAGCTGAAGTCAAAGCAAATGCGCTTTCCGGCGGGAGTCGTAGCCGTCCCTCCTAGATCACGAATCTGTGCAGGGATCCTGGGCTCCCATTTCGACTTTCCCTTCCCCTTCTGATAGGGGCTGGGCCATGAACCCTTTTGCCGATTCTGCCACTTACCTTTTCCTGCTCCTTTGGAATCGAAGCCCTTGCCACCACCTGGACGTTCCGATCCTGCACCTCGTTCTTTTGTGTCCTGTTTGGCCTTCATGGGCAAGGGAATCAGGGTGAACGAAACCTCATATGACGTGAGCGCAGCCATCAGCTGATGGTCCAGGGGTCTAGCCCCCGTATGATCCCTCTTGGGCTTCACATTCAACTCAATCGCTTTCCTCCAAGCCTCTTTATCAGCACTGACCAATTGAGCGACTGTGCAACGTTGGTAACCGGGAGGTGGTTCACGATGCAAATGCGCAAAAAGGGCTTGAACGTATGTGTCATGTTCCACAAAACCCATGCAATCTCCGAAGTCTAAGGCGATGCCACGACGTTTCATGGCCTCCAAGACCTGCAAAGAAGTGTGCGCCGGAACCTCGAGCTTCTCATCTTTATCCTTGACCACGATCTTGTTCGCCTCAATGTCAAGCATACGGTCTGGTGCCTTCAAAGACGTGAGTTCGTGAACCCTTGAGACACAGCGTTCAGGAGGCAAATACTTCAACTGATTCTTATCCACCATGTGCATCACTGAATCCAAGAGGGAGTGGCCTGGTTCCATTGAGCCGCTCACCAACACACCTGTCAAGCGCTGCCTGACCAAGTTCATTCTTGATTCTCTTTCTGCTTGCGGGATTTTCCTGGTGGTCGTGTCCGCCGAGGTCACCTGATCCCTGAGAATGGCCAGAAGCTGGGTTTGGCTTTCAAATACCAATCTCCTCAAATTTGCCACTCCTCCTAACGCAGCTCTAGGCTCTAAGGACCTGGCCCAAGCTGCAAAAGCATCTTGATCAATAACTTGTCCAGGTTGCCCAAAACTATAGGACAAGGAAGCAAGTGTGGTAATGCCATTTGCTTTCAAAGCATCTCTGATGTTATCCGGAACCTTGCACTCACTAATCCTGAGGTCAAATTGTGCCTCGCTGTCCAGCAAGAGCGCCATTGCTTCCCGGTGCCTTCGGCAGGAGCAACAATGATCTCCCGTCCTGAATAAAGAAAATTCTAAACAAGTTGACGACAGCTTCATGTTTTGCCAACATCAACAAACAGCGTGACAAGGTTCAGTATTAAGAGGTCTTCCCTTGCATTCTCAATCGAACCAGTCTCAAGTGGGAATGGATTCAACCAAATGCAATTAATGACATCATAGGCACAAATCCCTTGAACCACAGCACGCATGGCTGGACATTCACTCAACTTCGTTTGTGAAGTGGTCAAAACGGGTCCTCAGGACAGTTGGATCTATTATAGTTGCTACACCGCAAGCCTACACCGGCTTTATTGTCCCTGAGAGTCGTCACACTAAAAGATTCCGTGAGGTCACCGTTTTGCCGCTTTGGGTCCGCGCGCGCGCGCGCGCCTCTGACGGCCGTTTTCAGGGCCCAAAAGGGCGCGCGCGCGCGCGCGGACCCAAGCTTCCAAAACGGTCACCCTCATGGATCCTAAGACGTCACACAGAAATTCACAAGAGCGCCACGCATGGGCGAGTTTTTCCCACGGACATTCCGCGTCGTTCAGCCTGCACAGGCCCTTCAAGAAGGCTTCTTCTTGAGACACATTTTGCACATCACGTTCCACGCAGTCGCTTCAGTAGACAAACTATAAGCTTCAGTAAGCCTCTTCCCACATGTCAAATAACGATAGGTAAGGCCATCAGCGTTCTCCGTGAGAAGGTGGAGAATGTGAGATCTCCGATGAACATACCAAGACTCATCCCGAGGCACTCGAGGCCTAAACCGCTTCACCTTCATGGGGGGGCTCCTCACCACAAGACGAGTCAGCAGAAGACCCCGCCTCACTCGAAGAACTCTCCAAGCTAGAATCATCCTGCACCACAATGGGCTCGTGCTCCTCCTGAGTTTCCGACTGCACACATTCGGAGTCCACTGTTTCTGCCTTTGCCAATGATCCAACCTCGGGTGCACACATCAAAGCACTACCGCTTTCAGTCTCAATCATAGGTTCACATCTGGTGAAATAAGCACTACGGGGTGCATCAGGATTGAAGTTTCCTTTGAAGATCTCGTCAATGACCACCTGCATTTCACGAGTCGGGGCAACACACAAGTCCCTGGAGTAGAAGGCATAGGTGCCAGACGTGGCACTGGCGTGCCTCCCGAGAATTGATCTGGAGGGCTCCGAAAGACCATACTTTGCAGCCCACGATAACAGCGTTGCTTTGGCGGAGTGCGAAGACACGATTGGCGTCGAATCGTCAACGGCTTCCGACGGCGCACCTATGAGCATTCTCAAAAATGAGGATGCCTCACCTGATGTTAAAGGCCTTTTACAAAAAGTCTCATGACCGAGGCTTGGAGCAGGGAACAGGGGCCCTCCAATCGGTCCATCAAGTGACAACTCCAACTGAGAGAATACATCCGATGTGGCTCCCATCCAACTAACACCGTGCACACCTCTCGCAGGGATAAGGATGGGCATCAGCTGAGTACGCCTCTCAGCCGTCTTTCCCGTCTTATGGTGTGCTGATCGAATCTCAAGGAACCCTCCATCATCATCAAAATCAGGCACTACTGAATGCACCTTCGTCAAATCACTATGCCTGCAACGTCCATACAACGCAATCAAGAAATATACGGCAGCACCACGATCAACCAAGTTTGCATTCGAGTTAGTCGCAATGTCATGCAATTTACGAACTTGCAAAACAGTCAATGGAAGAGCCTGCCTCAAAACTCTCTTGTTTGCATGCATTTGATCACTAAGGCCAACGACTCGCCTGCTACCTGTGACCTCACTAAGTGACTCAAAGCCTAATACATGAAGTGCAAACCTAAAGGCCGACATGCACGAAGAGGCCCGAGTTGCAGGCGCACCCAACTCTTTCAAGTCCTGAAAGTACTGCCAAACAACTTTCTCTGAGAACGGATTTGTGTCCAGGACTTTTGACTTTGCGCACCACCTGAGAAAAGAAAGCAGGGAATTCGCTCTCTTCACGACGGTGTAAGGAGATCTAAGGCCCACAACTGCACTAACGATTTCCTTGGCAACTTCAAGTTGCTGCTCCTCCGAACCCAGTGAAATGATCTGCCTCCCAACTACACTAGCAAGCAAGCAATGACGAAGGACAATTAGAACTTTACTAATGGCTGCGTCCATCAATGCATCCCTCTGTTCGTCATATGTCTTATCATCGAGGTTACGAACTGCGGAGACGAAAACGGGGGCACTGTTGGTTTCACAAGTATGCCTAAGTGTGTCATCCACTACTGCATCCAAGGCGTCCTTCCAAGGCACACACACCCACTCCGAAGTGCTCACTGCAGGGATTACTGGAGTTGAGTGAAAAGGATTGCCAAAAATTTGTTGCGCAACACCTGTCTCCCAAGGCATCTTTATGTCACAGAATTTGGCGTTTGACACAAAGGCGTTTTCAAAGAATGCACGGTTCGAACTGCTCGGAAGTGTCAACGTGAAAGATGCACCTGTTAGCTCACAAGATTGAAAGGCAGAGCTGGCCTCAAGGCCCCTGGGATCATCCCTCGAGCGCGGGGATGCAAGGGGGTTTGGTTCGAAATCACAAGCATGAGATGATGGGGCCGAATGCGCAACTGAACAAATTTCTTCATGGTCAAAATCTTCTGCATGGTCCTGACTCAAATCTATGGGCTCCAACACCTCCAAATCGCCACCATTCATGGCGCGCCCGGGCACCGCACGCCCGCTAAGAAGAGCCCATCAAACTAACCCCCCAGTGAGGCCAGCAAAATTTCATGCTGATCCCACCTCGACCCACCCGGCTGCAGCGGCATCGAAAAGGTGAATGTGACCACACTCGAATCAAGATTCAAGAAAAGCACAAGACATGTTTATCACAAAGCTTGCGTTATTCAAGATTACTGCAATTATCGAAAATGTGGATGCATCAAATTGTCAAAGAACTTTTTCGGGTACTTTAGTGTGACGAAGTAGGCTGAAAATTTTGTCCACGAAATTTTCCCCAAAGCGTTGTGGACTTAAGGCGCTATCACAGGTGACCGCTTGCATGACCCGATTCGGGTCTTGTGGGTTATATTTAGTCCTATCCAGGCCAATTGTCCGCAGGGTGCGGCATTGCTCAAAAGTTCGGACGTTGAGCCTCGCCTGCGGCGCCAATTGATTGCTTCTTTGGTCTGGGTCTCCAACCCAGGCCAACGCGTGGCACTCCTCGAAAGCCCAACACCCGAAGTCAATGCACCCCGGGGCTGTGATTGTGTGGAGCACATAACAACATCGGAAGGCTCCTTCTTGCAGGCATAGCAGTGAACTGGGCAGGTGCGCTATGAGAAGCCTAGTGCAATGCTGCCAGGCCGCTTCGCCTATGGTGTGCACCTGCTTCAACTTGCAGGTGCCTGATATCGCACGAATGTGTGAAAGCGCGGGGGAGCACCTGCCCTGAACGGGTGACAGGTACTCGGAGTGCTTTTGCGTTCCTCCTCATCTGGCCTTTATGCTCTGCGCATTGACTGCATTGGCGGGCGACAATTTGGAAATGATTGCAGTCTCTGAGGGTGTCCCATATCGGACTTCGCAAGAGCTGCCCGGTATCTCGTCGAACAAAGGTGAGTTCGCAACCAAATGTGCTACTTCCTCCTGTGGTCGGGAGTTGCTCTAAGACAGCGGTTTCAAACTCATCAAGCCGATCAAACTCTTGGAGGTCGACAATGACTTGGTATTCTTCTCCTGAGAGAGAATTTAACTGGAGATGAACCACTAGTTGGCGTTCATTGCTAACTAGTGAGCTCGTTTGCGACTCCATGTCACAGTGCATGGCAGTATGGTTCCCTGTGCCTGTACTAGCTACTGGGGGTTTGAGCCTCGCAGTGCAGAGGGGCAGCTACTTGGGTAACCATCCATGCTCACTCAGGCCTGGCACTTCTTTATGAGTAAGGGCTAGGCGTTCATTCAATTCTGTCAACTACAAGGAGCAATCCAATCACTGTCCTTAGGCGGAATGCGGTGCAGCCACTTTGGGGTGGTCAGTTTGATACAGCCTTCAAAGGCATTGTCAGCCGCATACGGATATCGCCATGCTTTCTGCTTGTTCCATGCATACTCCAAGACAGAGAGCTCTGTACAATCCCCCAAGGCCCTGTATCCAAGGTAACGAACGCTGCCCGGAAGAGTCAGTCTCTCCAGGGCTTTGCAGCCCACAAACACTTCTGCCCTGATTTCACGCAAGCAGTTCGGCAGCTTGACTGTTGACAGGCAGTGGCACTGCGCAAACGTGTGCATATGTAGGGTATGAATGCCCGTGTTGGCGAGGTTGACACTGGTGAGCGCTTTGCAGTTTTCAAGAGCTCTGTGGCCTATGTGGTAAGTGTCGTCTCCGAGTTCCACTTGCTGGATACCGCTTGCAAAGAAGCAGCCTTGGGGTAGTCCTGCCTGCGGGGAAGTGAGTGCGCTACTATCCACCACTGCTCGTACATGAGGTAGGGATAGGTGGGCTAGTTTAGCGCATTCTTCAAAAGCATATTGACTGACGATGGCTCCAATCGCAAGGTGGCAGCCTCCGTCAACAATGTTACCGACCTTCTCCAGCGCACAACATTCGGAGAATACTCGAAAACCAAACACTACACATCCCGGCATTTCGGCTACCTGCAGGGAGTAACATCCCTGAAAAACTGCATATCCCAACGTTATAACCGTGTCAGGCAGCTTGACAATCCGCAGGGAGTGGCAATACCGCCATGCTTGCGGGCTGATTATCCTAAAGCCAACATCTAAACAGGCGTGGCGGACTCGCATGGTCGAGTGGAAGGCCTTGGCTTCGAGAATACCTGATTCGGAGGCAGGGACTCGAATTGCCTTCGGACAGTCTTCATAATCAAGCCCCTGAAGCGGCTTGTTGTTCTCCAGACACCGAAAGCATTCGCGCACGATAAGACAGAAGTGATTGGAATTCCAAAGTTCTTCCTGCACAGGGTCTTGCAGCGCCGCCTGAGTATCCGCATCGAGCAAGGTGAGTTCGCATCCAAACGTTTCGATGGGGCTAATGTACGGCAGGTGCTCAGTCAGGTAGTCCTCCAACATGCTCCACGTGTGGTAGATGCTGACAGGGACCGGTAACTGTATCTCCGTACCCGCCAGTGTGGTGAGGTGCAGTCGAAGGAGGCTGTCTTCTTCCCAGTCTGCCTGCTGTGCTTGACGTACGGTTCTGCTTGCTCCCTCAGCCATGTGGGGGACTGCCTTGCTATTGGCAGCCCTCCCTTGTGGTCCTGCCAGGCCTCGCCTTGAGCCGACAGGTGGACGGAGCCCTGTTGTAATATCCCTGACGCCCGATAGATCTTAGGCAGTACCCCGGGCAGCGGTAAACAAGAGTTACCTATGGGCAACCTACCCAGCTACACTTCCGACAGCATCTTGGGATACCGCCTGGGGCTCCTGTGAACTACTTTCACCACTAAGGAACATTATGCCTCCTAACCCGGTGTCTGTGCAGTCTGTCCTACCGCCGTGGCCGGCGTGTCCGATTGTAAGATAAGTGACGCCTTCCTACCCCTTGACTTGGTGAGTAGCGACAGTATCTTGAAACACCGCCGGGCCTACCTGCATAGTATTTCAGACGCTGGGTACGTTTCTCTTGTGCCAAACGTATCTCTGTGGTCCTACCTTACTGACTGCTAGCCGCAGAGGTTTGTGGTTTGGTGTGTGCCCCTGCTTCTCGTGACGTCCCTTCTGTATCGGGCAGTTCAACTGTGCGATCAATTAGGCGAAAGTAGTCAATCTCATCACCGGCCTCTCTCAGTCTACGGAAGCGATGGGTCCTTGCTAGGTAGCCCTCAGGCATGACTTGATTGACGTGCCATTCCCAGTCGCGCACAGTCTGGCTGTGTGCGTCGGTCGCAGCATAGGGCTTCTTTCTGTCAGATCGCTCCGTGGAGAGGTATCCGATTTTGAAATGTACCCGCAGC